GACACGTCTCACAGCCCCGAGGCTTGGCAAGGAGAGTGGCTGTGACCATCCCGAGCCCCGGGTTGGGACCTTGGAGAGGTCCCTGAGCCTCCCCCACCCGCAGCGCCCTGAGCATCTCTCCGGCAGGGTGCTGTGACCGTGCCTCAGCCAGGCCTGCAGCAGCTTTACTGTGCTGACAAATTGGTGGGAGCAAGTGCAGATTTGGTGACAGAGGGTGTCTGATGCCCCAGCCATATTCAGGCTGCTCTGCTGGCAGCCCAGGCAGGGCTGTGTGCCAGCCGCCAGCAGCCATGTCCCTGCCACCCTGGGCACTGTGCTGGAGCAATGAGATATCCATCATCCCCTGAGGCCACTGACCCCTGACTGCTCTGCAGTGATGTATTCATCACCAGAGTAAGCAAAAGCACTGTGCAGAGAGCAAGTGAGGGACTGGGCAGATCGTGGGCACCTAGTGGGCAAGCTGAGGCTCACTGCCCCGTGCCATGGCTCCCCTCAGCCATGCCCTTCCCAGTACCAGCTCTGGTAGTCACCAAGCCCTCGCCGGACAGTGCCCAATGGAAAGAGCAGCCCATGGGTTCACTATCCCCAGAGCTAAATGAAAACACTGCTCCTGGCTCTCTGGGCAAGGGGACCCTGCAGTATGGGCCCAGGGGAGGGCAGTGGGCTTGGCACTGTCCCCAGCACAGTGTGAGAGCTGCTTGAACAGTCCCTAACAAAGGGCAAAGTCCCCACAACCAGGCCATGGGAGCTGTGAAGTGGGGACAGAGCACACACAAGCCCCTTCCTTCCCTGCCTCCCCCTCCGTGAGCAGCACAACCCCCTGCTATGGAACATGGACTGTACAAGTGGAACCTCATGGTTGACATAGTTAAGCTTGCTGACAATAAAATAAATAATAAGTGTGTTCAGAGAACAGGATCAGGGTTCCTCCTTGTCCCAGTCACCCTAGGGTTTTCAACCTCAGCAGATTTAGCAAAAAGCAGATTTATCCAAGCACAGGTGCCTCCAATCAACCCAATGGGTGCCAAGGGATGGGTGGGAAGGGGGCTGTGGTGCTGCAAGTGGTAGCAGCACCCTGGGCACTCAGGAGCAGGAGCTGCCCAGTGTGTTCACGACAAGAGGACACAGTGCTAAGCTGTGCCAAGGGAAATTTAGGCTGAACATTAGGAAAAAATTTTTCACAGAGTGATTGTGCTTTAGAATGTGCTGCCCAGGGAGATGGTGGAGCCTCTGTCCCCGGAGGTATTTAAAAAAAGACTGGATGTGGCACTTAGTGCCAGGGTCTGGTTGATAAGGTGGTGTTAGGTCATAGGTTGGACTTGAGGCCCTTAAAGGTCTTTTCCAACCTCGTTAATTCTGTGATTCTGTAGCTGCTCGGCTATGTGTCTGAGTGTCTGACCCGAGGGACCCGTGTTGGTGTTGCTACAGCAGAGCTGGGAGCCAGGGCAGTCTGAGGCACTGTGGCACAGCAGAGCAGTGATGCCGTCTCACCCAGAGGGCTGTGTGCCCGCGGGAATCACACAGACCCATTTCCTGGCACTTAGGGGGCAGCTGTGTGGGAGCTGGGGGTGTCTACCCTGTAGAGCCAATCGTGCAGGATTCCCGAAACCCAGAATCTCTTTTCCTGCCTGAGCCTCCTGAAATCCCCTCACCATGTCAGGCACACGCTCCCTGCCCAGCTGTCCCCCTGCTCTACCGGGAAAGCTTTAAATAGCACCAAACTTCATTCTAGCGACGCGGGGGCTGGAGGGGAGTCGGGAGGGAGGGAAGGGCACAGACCGGACCCTGCTGGGCTGTGATCGC